TAAACTTTAACCATGTTTCCCTGATTTCCCTATGGGGGGGGGCACTATTAGGCGGATTTTTCACCATAGAATTTATTCGAGGTATTTAGGTCCCACTTATTGTAGGCTTTGGTTATATTATATTTTTAAAAAAATAATTGGGTATCATTTATTTTTTTATAAAACTTTTTTCTAAAGATTTTGTTACTTGTCATTATTTAAAAGGTGAACTTTCACTAACAAATTCTTCTTTATAGTGTTATATTTTATGTATTTTTGGAGGAGGGAGGGTTGGGTGGGGGATGTGGGGCGAAATGTGGGGGGGGGGGAGTATTTTTTATTAGCTTAAAATGTTATTTACGAGAATACGCAAATTTTCTATGGAGAAAAAGTCCCCTTAAAAAAATACCAACTTGTTAACTATTTGATATTTGTAAATAAAGAGGGTTTAATCGATCGAACCACGAAAACCGAAACAAACCTCAAACATATATTATTTATTTTATGAACCTAGCCCGCGAAATAAATCTTTATAAAAAAACTATAAGGTGAACCAAACCATTAAATATTTTTTTCCCCTTTTTAGCTTTCACCTTTTCTGGTGGTAAGCTCCTTCAACATCTCTCTTCACTTTATGTTATTCATACAATCGCTTTTATCTAATTTATACTTTTTTATATTGGCTCTAACTTTATGGCCAAATTGAAGTTTTGGTCTTCCTCTTTTACATTTGCCCATCACTTCCAAACTCTCAACCTTATTTCCTATGTAGTTCATAGGCCTTCTCATTGTGTGCCCATACTACCTAAGTTTGTTTACTATTCTTGTACTGTGCACTTTATCCTTTCTTGTTACACCAGCAATCATCCTCAGCTGTCTCATTTCCATAGTTTGTAGACTTCTCTCGTCTGATTCCTTGGTTGGCCATGTTTCCGAACTATATAGAATAGTTGGTAGTACTATGGAACTGTAAATTTTTCCTTTTAATTTGTGTGGATTATTTTATCATATAGCACTCCAGATAAAGATCTCCACTTTAACCACCCTTGATTAATTTTACTTTTTATCTCTTTTTCTATTGTGCCGTTTGTTTGTATAGTGGAGCTCAAATATTTGCAGCTTTCAATTGCCGATATCTGCCATTCATTTATATCAATACTCTCTGTTTCATTTCCTCCTATCACCATATATTCCGTCTTTTCTCTATTTACTTTTAGTCCGTGCTTTTCTAGGATATTTATCCAACTCACTAATCTTTCTTTCATTTCATCCTTGGATTCGGCAAGTATCACAACATCGTCTGCAAATATCATATTCCACGGGACTGTTTGAGGTATAGACTCGGCTATTGTGAAGCCTGCTGAAGTACCTGTTGTGCTACGGACCATTGTTATATGGCCCATATACATATTCTGTATTATTCTTATATATTTTTCGGGAACCTTTTTGTGACGTAGAGCCCACCAGATAAGTTTTCTTGGGATTATCGAAGGCCTTTTCTAGATCGCGAAAGACCATGTGTAGCTTTTTGTTCTTTTCCCTGTATTTTTCACTCATTTGCCTAATTGCGTGGATTGCATCAATTGTCAATTGTTGATCTTATAGGCATAAAGCCAAACTGAGTCTCTCCTATTTCGATTATGTCTCTTAACCTTTTTCCTATTATTTTTTCGTAGAGTTTAAGACAGTGTGACATTAGTTTTATGTCCCTGTAATTTTGACAATTGTGTTAAGTGGATCCCCTTTATTTTTGAAGATAGGAACTAGATAGATAGCTCTGCCTCCATTTTTGAGGAATCTCCTTTCCCAGTATTTTATTGTACAGATTTGTGAGGAGATGTATTCCATCATCTCCTATTGCTTTAAGGCTTTGTATTGGAATATCATCTGGACCCCTAGCTTTTTTGTTTTTCATATGCTTGAGGCATGTGATTATTTCTTGTTCTGTTATTGGTTGTCAAGGTTTTGACATGGGGAGTGTTCATCTAGATATAGTATTTGGGGATTAAAGTTGAGAAGTTGAAAATATTCTTTCCATCTATTCATTATTTCTTCCTTTATTATTAATTTCCCGTCCTTATTTTTGAAGGGGAGTATATCTACATCGATTGCAATACAAAAATATTAAATAATACGGATGCAACTACAATTGCGGAAATCGTATACATCTATCATGTAGTTCAACATTCACAGAGCTATATCATCACAATGCGGGTCGAATCTTTTTCTCATGATATTTAACGACTCCATATAAGTGCAAACCTTACTTGTGGCAGAACAAAAATGAGCAAGGCTATCACAAGTGTTTTAGTACCTGAATCCTAGAGGTCAATTCTAGACGATTTGAAAGATGGACATCCATAATCCATATGCAATTCCAACAGATGCATCTAATAAGGGAAATATTAAAACATATCCCCCTTCGCTATTTCAACAAGAATAAGAACATTTCAATAAAACTGTTAAAATTTTTTCCTCGGATATTGAAAAATCCAACAATGTTGCTAGCCACATAATGGTAAAAATAGCTGATTCAGGGTTATCAATGATTTGCATGTCAGCTTTCTGCGCTGATAATGCCTCTGTAAATTTTGGCAAAAACCAAAGTTACTGAATTGAGGCAGCCTAATAATGAATTAATACCAATTGACTGTATATGCCATATACTACATAATTCTTCCAAGAAGGTAATGGTACTATCTGTGGATGTCGAAATAATTGTGATGAAATGTTTTAACGAATTTAGTTTATCAACTAAAAGAGTTAATGAATTAAAAGAATTGGTGAAGTGGTAAAGATTCACAAAATCATGCTGCAGCTCTGTTCATCTCTACAGTTAAAAATTGATAATAGGTTTATGGCGCTATTGCTAAAAATATTATATTAAAATGTTCAAATAATATTATAATTAATACATTTTTAAATGAAGCAGATATTTTTATTAAAACAATTTTAGAATATTTACAATCAAAATTTGATTTTAATAACTCTATTTACAAATGTATAAATATTATGACCTTGGAACAGAAACTATCAATTGATGGTTTTTTAATTTAATAAATATGTTAAAAATACCGAAAAGACATTGATGTCTTATTTGAGGAGATTGTAATTCTCTCTTTTTTTATGATTCGCCAAAATATTTAAAGTTAGATGGTCTAAAAGCAGAGGAGAAATGGGTAGAATTCTTTCGTAATAACGATAAATCCCCATGCTTGGAAAAAATATGCGAGTATGTCTTCTCCTTACCTCATTCTAATGCCTCATCCGAGCGCATTTTTAGCCTGATGAGGACTGCCTGGATAAATGAGAGAAATCGGATTGTTTTAACAACATTAGAGGCCGAGCTAATGGTTAAACAAATATATAATATGTCATGCCAGGAATTTTATAAATATCTCAATAACGACGGTAAACATTTAGTTCTATTATTTAAATCTCAAATAAAATATAATTAAGTTTTAGCAATGGCGCTATAAAATTTATTGTCAATTATTTACTGTAAAGATGAACACATCTGCAGCATAATTTGGTGAATCTTTGTTAAGATTCTTCTGATTGCAACTACACATTAACAGCATTTAGTAGATTTCCTACATGAATCATTCCTAAATATACCTCTGCCATTCATTATTGGGAAAAAATTTTCAAAATGTTAGATCAGCTTTTATCATCTTTATTTAAGAAATATTTTTTTAAAGGTTTATAAAATTTTAAAATTCTATCGATGGCGGATATTAGGAACATATCCCAACCAACATTGTGCTGACTCAATTCTGTAAATACACTCTGTTTTTACCAAATTCACTGAGGCATTATCAGATCATAAAGCTGACATGCAATTTTTTGATAATCTCGAATCTGCTATATTTACCATTATGTCTTTGGATTTTTCATTATTTGAGGGAAAAAAATTTAATAGTTTTATTGAAACGACCTTAATTTTGTTGAAATAGCTAAGGATCAAGGGAAATATTTTAATATTTCCCTTATTATATGCATCTGTTAGAATTGCATATGTATGCCCATCTTTCAAATCGTCAAGATTTGACCTCCTGGATTTAGGTCCTAAAACATTGATGATAGCCTTGCTCATTTCTACAAGTATAGTTTTCATTTATATTAGTGTTGCACTACAGGATAAGTGATTAAAATTGCCGCAACTGTAGTTACATCTGTATTATTTCTTATTTTTGGAGTACCTTATTCTATATTTAAACGTGATAGGTGATAATTAAGCGCCTATCCCCATAATGTTATGTACACACACGGTAGATTTCCAATTGCGGTCGTTTTGCGGTACATTCACATAAAATATATTTTTAATTGTAAAATTAAAATTGATTTTTTTAATAAAATTTTATCTTGTTTACATTCTTTATATTTAAAAAAGATCTTTGGTTTTTTTTATAAATTAATATATTCTAATAAATCAAGACGTATTTTATTTTGAAAAATAGTTACCGACTTTGTATTTATATAAACTAATTATAAAAATAATAGGCGAATCAGCAAAATTTTTTTTTAGCAATTTTTATATTTCTAACGCAATTTTTATATTCGCATAATACCAAATTTCTCCCGCAATTTAAAAATTTTGACCTGGCAACTCTGTTTGTACCTCTTCATTCCACCATTATAGTTCTTTGTAGGATTTGTTACCTCCCCTTGTCATGCCTAGTGTCAATTTAGCAGTGTCTATTAATCTGAATGAAAGGTCTGTCCACATTTTTTCACTGACTTGTGAGGAATCTATTATTTCAATGTTTGCATTGATTGCAAAGGCATCTGTCATTGTTTTTAATTTACCCCATTTGACGCATGGTTCAAGTTTTATCTTATTTTCAGTGGATTTATTTGAGATGTGTAAATCCATGACTAGTACTTGTTGCGCGGCTCTATCTTCTCCGATGACTTTGCAGTCTATTACATCTTTTTATCTTCTGTGAGAGATTAACATGTAATCTATCTGTGTTTTCCTTGTACCACTTTCATATGTTATTAAATGACTGACTTTTTTCCTAGTAGGTGTTGGTTAAGGCAAGGTCGAAGGCTTGCACAAATTTCAGTACGTGCTCTCCTTCATCATTTCTTTCTCCATATCCAAAACCACCATGATGCCTTTTGTAGCTGTCTCTTGCTTTTCCCACATGCGCATTTAAATCACCACCTATTATTTCTAGGTCATCCCTAGGGATTTCCATTACAGCTTCATCAACGATAGATCTAAAGTCATCTTTCTCCTCTTCTTTGCAACCCGTTTGAGGAGTACTGAAAGGATGTGTAGTATTGATTGACCAATGCAGAGTTTTACTATTTAACTTCTACCACTGAGGAGGTTAGATCTTGACTGAGGATAATGCCGACACCGTTCCTATTGCTAGGAATTCCATTATAGTACAATTTACACCCATATCCAATCATTAAAGTCTTCTGACCTTTCCATTTCGTATCTTGTACAACTTTTCTCTTGTTCAAAATTTTGCCAATTCTCTCTTCTTACCTTTAAGTGTACCAATATTCAAACTTGCTAACCTTGTCTTCTTTGCTTTGACCTTTATTTTACTTTTCACAGGATGGAGGTCTACATCCTGCGCGTCGCTTGGAGGGAACGCCCTAGCTTTCATATTTCTATTTTTGTATTTCCTTCATTTTTGTTTATTGGACAAATATCCTTAGCACCCGGCTGTCCAGGCCTGTCGGTGACCGGGGTGTCATCTCTAAGCTCCTAAATTCATCTTACCATATGTCTTTACACATCAGTCATCGAAGAAAAACCTGAAAATTTTTATGTTCCTTACCAGGATTGAACCTGGGATTTTCTGTTCCAAGCCTACATTATAACCCACTAGGCCACCCCGGCGATCCATTATAGACAATAATACCGGTTTAAAATAGTTAAGAATATTTATTTTAGGCGTTATTATATTAATCGTTTTCATAAAGAATAAGACTGAGATATATTTTTGAATCAGACGCATACGTAGCAGGGTTGGGACAATCACCCCCCTTAAAACCAAAAAGTTTAGATGCCGACTAAAATGTTTTTCGAAAGTATACTTATTCCTACCCTTTATTGCATATACATTTCAATTCATATTTATCACACTCACAGTAGAAGAAAATGCGCTACTAATTAATCTATGAATTAATATCAATTTCTGATTTTCCATAGTGTTATATTTATCTACCATTTTAAAATTTCTTACCAAATCATTTGTGACCATTTCACTTTCAAAAAAATGACATCGATTTGATTGAGACAATGAGAATATCTGAAAGCATTATATTAGAACTTAAGAAAATTAGGGCAAATTTTATATCTAAAGCAGAGCTCTATGAATTTAATATATGTCTACCTCGACTAGTAGCGGGGAAACCGGTCGTTCCAATTATAAGGTCAGTTGAAGAATACTATAAAATATCTCCTTCTTGGATTTTTATAATTCAAATAAATGAAGAGATCTTGATTAATCAGGGTGTACTCCGAATCTATTTCAAATTTGACAAAGGAAAAGTTAAATATCTGGTAGATTTTTATTGTGATGTTAAAGTATCCCAAGATGCATTACTACCTGAATGTAAATTATGGTAAAGGTTAAATATGGTTGATAATGTTCCAAAAAATGTTATTGATGCTTCGCATAATTTCAAACATATTTTAGACTATTTTCTTAATATATAAAAATTATTATATATTTTAACAATTCTACTTATTAGTCCTTCAACCAGTGAAAAAACATTTTCTTCTTTAACAAGAATAAAAACCCTGAGAAGTAATGTTGCTGCTCTATTTGAACCGATTTAATATCTAACTTATTATTTTAGCTATTAAGCCTCGGTATTTCGTTAATAGATGTTCAAACCTTTATGCCACCTAAGAGCAGAATCTTCAGACTGTTTGACGTCACTACTGTGAACTATTACTTCTGGATAGAATGGGTTAGCCCTTCTTAATATACATAGGGAGTTTACACCAAGCACTAATAAAATCATTGAAAAACGAACTCAATCCCAAAGAAAATTGAATTTAAATTATAAATTTATATGATTCTTAATTATATTTTTTCCTATCTTTTATACACCTTTTTTTTGGAATACTTGTAAGTTTTTATGCATGCAATAATTCTTTAGAATATTTTTTGGGTTTATCTATTTTTCCAACATTTTTTTAAAATATAATTTAAATTTATATATTAAATTTATATATTAAATTTTAAACGCTTAAAAAATTTATATTTTTTTTACAAAATTCTTTTCCAGACATTTATTTTATAGTGATTCATACGTCGATCATATGCATTTAATATTTTATCATTCATATATTTAAATTTGTGTATTATAAATTGTCAATATTTTTAGTACTAGTCCTAATAAATTTCTGAAACTTAAAAAAAATTAAATATCCCCTCCCCCTCTCCTTCATAGTGAATTCCTACGTTTGCATATCAATTTTTTATTCATTTAATTTTATTTGTTATATTTATTTTATAAAAATTTTCGTAAAATAAAATTATTTGAGCACTATTAAAAAGCTAAATGAGTCTGTTTAAACATGTTATCAATATCGGTTAATCCCTTTTTTAAGAACAATTTCAAAACTTATCAAATCTATACGTTCTTTTTCGAATTACATTAAACCGAGTCTTTATGAACCTTACCCTGAACGGTATGAATTTATGAACCTAGACGAAAATCGAAACTATATAAAATTTTAATCCAAGTTCTTAAGGAACTCGAACCATCGAACAGAATATATATCAAAATGTCACATTAAAGATAAAATTTCACTATTTTAACTTGAAATTATTAGTAAGAAAATATTTGAAACTGTTTTAAAAGAATATGATTTAGACATTGACTCTACCACATCAAATGTTCTCTCTGTATCTATCGCACCTTTTGCTTATTTATGGGGACCGAATATATTCAATACTACAATTGATGTTCAAGATGCCGAACTTGAAAAGCTTTCGAATAAGCAAAACATTCTAGTGAAGAAAAATTCAGATTCCATGGTGCTTAATGTATTTTTGAAAGACTTGTTAAATAAGGTATTATATATAATCTATTTTATTTTTGTGGACTATCGTTTTAAAATCAATTTGACAATCTTTGCCCCCTCATGAGAAAGTGTAAAAATAATTTTAAATAATTGAAATATTTATGTCAAAAAATTTTTAATTCACTTTTTAAAACCAATAAAAACGTAGTTAAAAATTATCTGATTTTATTTAGGGGGGATCGGGTTAGGTTAACCCCAGGGCTTGGCAAACCACTTAAACTCATTTTAAAATTAAATACACAAGAAGGTTAAAATTTTATCCTAATATAGTTTATTAGTTTACCTCTATAGACCAAAAATTAAAGAAATAAAATTTTGGTGAAATAAAGATTTTTAAATGACAGAATTTTTATTAAAATATATAATATATAAATTTAATTTTATACCAAAGTTTAAACACTCTTCTATGGCTTGTTGGACAAAATTTTCACTTTTACAAAAAATAAAATTTAAAAAAAAGATTATATTCTTAAATTTTTTTATAAGGCCCTTTATAGAGTATAGTTTTATGTATATAATCATATATTATTTTTAATATTATCTAAAAAAAAGCAGGAGCCATAGTCAATTTTTTATTCGACTAACTCCAGTTTCATAATTAAATTCCCAAAATTTAAAATTTTCCTGCTAATTAAGAGGAGCTAGAGAGGCACATTAGTCCATTTCAATTTATTTCCTATCATCATGCAATTAATTTTTCCTCCGCGCCTTAGCGCCAATTTTTAATACGGCGACCCCTTGGCGTGAAAAATTTCTAAAATGCTATTTATTTGTATTTAATAGATACTTTTATATTTATAAATTTAATAGTTTATTGCACCATTCATTATATATTACATTATTGGCTACTACACTGAGCACTCATAAGCACTAATAAAGCACAAGATATTGACATAGATTTGAGAATTAGTGCTGCTTCCAATTGTTCAGTAAACTTTTACATATTTTAGATAGAAAATTAAAATAACTACTGGATAATATCTAATGTGGATAAATCCTGTCTACGCCAGAGTCTATGGTCGGAGAATACTCGACAGAAGTAAATGAAGTATGCAAGTGATAGAGATAAATTCTAACCATTCTTGAATGAATGTGACATGACAGCAGAGTCTATCTAAAGAAGGATGAAGAATTTAATTTTTAAAATACAATGAATATTTATTCCAGGCTTATAAAGAATAGCGCTTTGTGTAGAACCTTAGTTGTATACAGGGATCCACGAACCTGAACCGAACCATTAAACCGCTAAAAACCGGTATTTTTTATCGAACTTTTACTAGCCGAAACTGAACCGAACCACTAAAATGCCTCTGAACCGGTTCGATTCTCATAATTATATGCTTATAAAATAATGTGTAAGTTATTACTACTTTATTGCAAAAATTTTAATTATATTCGAATTGTTTTAAAGATTATTATCAATCACATTTGATTGATAAGTATCAGTCATAATTTTTATGTATATTGCCATTTTACAACATTTTTTAAATATTTTAAGCTTATAAATTATATGCCTAGAGAAAAATTAATTCCAATATATAAATTATTTACATATAGTATTATAAATGACACATCAAATCTGATATCATACTGGCAGTGCCGGCTACCCAAGTTAGTGAGGAAAGATGTTTTTCAACAATTAATTATATATTATCTCCTTATAGATGTAATTTGAGTGAGACGAATTTTGAAAATATATTAATTGTGCAACTTAATAAAAAATTTTTTAAGTAATTGTTCATATTAAAATTAATCATTGATATTTATTTGTTTTATTTATAAATTAAATATTATTTTATAATGTTCAATTTATAAAAAAGAAGGTTTTATGTATGTGTTTTTTATTTTAATTATGAAATAAAAAATTTTTTTCCCTATGCATAATTCGAATGTTGGTTGAATATAAAAGCCAAACCGTTTTTAGAGGTTCGAACCTAACAGATATTTTTATTTTTTACGAACCGAACCTGAACCTTTTATCCGAACCTGAACCGAACCGATATTCGTTTCGGTTTGGATCCCTGGTTGTATATTATAAAACTTATAGAGCCGATCTTTTAAATATTAGTAAAACAATCTTATGTATAATTACATAACTTTAATAGATAGTATTTGGAATCATATAAATTGTGTTTTTTTACAGTTTTTAAAAAACGTCCTGTCTAGAAGTCGGCCTTCATCAGATTTCTTGTGTTCTTTCTTTCCTTCTTTCTTTTATGCACCAAAATAAGATAAGGAATATATCACTTTTTAGTTACATATTGTCCTTTTTCAACGGGACTTTTTTTAAAAATATGCCTCATAACTTGCTAACTTGGTTTAAAAATGAGACTATGTGACTAAAAAAGCAATATAGTGG